CACGTTCAACGCGGACGCACAGACGGTTGTCGTGGTAATGAACACCAGAGCAACCACTTGCGCGTCCGCACTGAACGTGCATCTCGCATATAAAAAGCATTTTAGGGGGCCCAAGGCGGTCGCCTACCTTTGCCTAATGGTTAAGTCCGCCTCTGGTCACTCACTCTAGTCAGAAGCCATTCTCTTCCATACACATGGATGTATGGATGAGAGTGACCTCTGGCTTGAGTTAATGTCAGAAAATATTGCCTAATGCAATTGTGCAACAAAAAAAGGAGTTAATATGCATAATATTGCACATGCATAATATTCTGCCTTTTGTACAATATGCCAAAAGATGACATCTAGTCAGAAGCCTAGGTCAGAAGGGTGCACCTTTATGCATGATTGTTGACAACTGACAAGTGAAAAGCCTGTCTGCTTCATTGATTCTTTATCCTGACATTCTTCAAGAATATATCGGAATCCTGTATTTCCAGTGCTTACAAGGTTCATGCTAAACAAATCACATGCAGACTTTTCCAAATGATGCAATGCTCAAAAAGTTTTTTCTTGTGAGGACAAGTCATAAAAGGGGTGAAGGGTACTTTCATTGCTTGCACAAACACAAGTTTCAACAGGGTTCTGTGGTGTACAGTTTTGCCTTTTCTACAGTAAACAAAATATATGGATAACTTAAATGAACAGGTTAGACTAGTTTTTACATGCATGACTAATAATTATTCATATATAATCCACAGACCCTGGTGCAAGAAAATCCACACAAAAAAAAATGCCAGCTCAGGAAAATTGCAGTTCTCAGGGCCCAGTAGCTGGAGTGTTCCTTGAACATTCAAATGAAACAATTACAATATACCAAGCCTTCAAGAAGCGCTTGTTGAAGCCAGGAACATATCTTGCACTGTTAGAAGCTCAAGCTGCAACAGGAGGAATCATCGACCCTGTCAAAAACAGGGCATGGTCTGTAGAAGATGCAGTAAAGGAAGGCATTGTGGGACGTGAAATGAAAGAGAAACTTCAATTAGCTGAGAGGGCCATCACAGGCTACACAGATCCATACACCAACCAACAAATCTCACTCTTCCAGGCCATGCAAAAAGATGTAATCCCAAGAGAATATGGCATTAGATTACTTGAGGCACAGATCTCTACCAAAGGGATCTATGACCCTATTGAAAAATGCTACCTAATAGAAGAACAAGCCTTTGGGAAAGGTCACTATGACAAAGATCTTTTTAGAGACCAGGTGGATGCTCTAAAAGTATTATATGATCCAAACTCTCAAGAAAACCTCACCTATGCATCCTTGATAAAGAAATGCACTGTAGCCCCAGAAACAGGTTTGCTGCTGCTCCCGATTTACATCACATTTAAAGGTCTTCGCAGAGGTGTAACCTCCGCTGAGCTTCTGGCATCAAAAATAATTGACCAACAGACATTTGAAGATCTGCATAAGGGTAAAACCACCACCCAGGACGTGATGTTAATGGAAACAGTGAAAGAATATCTAGAAGGTAAAAAGAGCATTGGGGGAGTAGCTATGCTCTCTACGAACAAGAAAATGGGCATCTATCAGGCAATGAGACAAGGAATAATCATGCCTGGTTCTGCTTTGATTCTGCTGGAAGCCCAGGCTGCAACTGGATCCATGATTGACCCTGTTGAAAACAAGACATACAGTGTAGATGAAGCCATTAAACAAAAACTTGTAGGGCCAGAGTGCCATGCAAAATTGCTCGCAGCAGAACGTGCAGTGACTGGTTACAAGGATCCATACACTGGTGAAACCATTTCTCTTTTTCAAGCTCTGAAGAAGGAACTGATTGTGAAGGAGCATGGGATCCGATTGCTTGAGGCACAAATTGCGACTGGTGGAATTATCGATCCAATAAACAGTCACAGAGTTCCTGTGGATGTAGCATACAAGCGTGGCTTCTTCGATGAGGAAATGAATGCCATCCTTGAGGATTCTGGAGATGACACTAAAGGTTTCTTTGACCCAAACACAAACGATAATCTGACATATCTGCAACTGCTGGATCATTGTGTCATCGACCCCTCTACGGGACTCACATTATTGCCCATTCAGGATCCATCCAGCAGTCTGAATCACACATTCATTGGCTATGACATCAAAAAAGTCTTCAAGGGTGTCATGGTAAAAGTGACATGTGGAAAATACATGGGAATGACTGTTTCGCTCTGGGAATTACTTATGTCTGAATATTTCACAGAACAGCAAAGGCAAGACTTTATCCAGAAATACAGAAACAAAACACTCACAATTGAAATTATAGTCACCAAAGTTCTAGAGATCATTGAACATTCAGTGAAAACAGCTAATGCAGTTTTTAAAGGTATAAGGGAAAAAGTAACTGCAAACCAGCTCGCCGAGGCTGACATCATCACAGAGCATGATCTAGAGGATCTCAGAGGAGGAAAAAAGACGGTAAAAGATGTTATAGAGAATGAATCTGTGCAAATATACCTACAAGGTAAACCAAGCATTGCTGGTGTGCTGCTTCCTGACTCCCAAATAATGTCAATCTACCAAGCCAGACAAAAAGGAATTCTGAGGCCAGGAACATCACTTGTTCTTCTTGAAGCCCAGGCTGCAACAGGATTCATAATTGACCCAATTGCTAATCGAAAGTTTTCTGTAGATGATGCAGTGAAGGCACGAGTGGTAGGGGCTGATCTTCATGCAAAATTAAGCTCCGCAAAGAAGGCAGTGACAGGTTACCAAGATCCTTACACTGGCAAGAAAATCTCACTGTTCCAAGCAATGCAGAAAGATTTAATTGTGAAAGATCATGGTATACGTCTGCTAGAGGCCCAGATTGCCACAGGGGGCATTATTGATCCTGTAAATAGCCATCGCATTCCTGTTCATATTGCTTATAAACGAGGATATTTTGATACCGAAATGAATCAGATCCTTTGCGATCCAACTGATGACACAAAAGGATTCTTTGACCCAAACACTCATGAAAACCTTACTTATATGCAGCTTATGTCCAGATGTGTCACTGACCAAAGCACAGGCCTTTGCCTCTTGACAATCAAAGGAAACGACAAGAGAGTCAAAATAGGAGGCAGCATTAAAGAGGTGTTCCATACCACATATGTCTCTGTGAGATACGGCAGATTCAGCAACAAGAAAGTGACACTCTGGGATCTCATCAACTCTGAATATTTGTCTGAGGAGAAAAGGCAGGAGCTGTTAAAGTGTTACAAGTCCAAAACAATCACAATAGAAGAAATCATAACAATTATTTTAGAGATCATTGAGAGCAAGGAAGTACAAAGAAATGCTGACCTCAGTGTAGATGGTCTCAGGGGAAAAGTCTCCATTTTGGAGCTGCTGAATTCGGCAATAATAGATGAAAAAACATACAAAAATGTGCTTGAAGGGAAGCTAACAATCAAAGACCTCACTGAGATGGGCACTGTGAGGAACTTCCTTAGTGGAACAAGCTGTATAGCAGGTGTATTATTACAAAAGTCAAATCAGAAAATGAGCATCTACCAAGCCAAAAAAGAGGGCTATCTGACCCCTGGCACTGCCTTGTGTCTTCTTGAAGCACAGGCTGCCACTGGTTTTATTATTGATCCAATACAAGACAAGAAACTCACTGTTGAGGAGGCCTTGAAGCAGAAAGTCATTGTTCCAGAGTTGTATGAAAAAGTCCTGGCTGCTGAGAAAGCAGTGACTGGTTACAAAGACCCATACACTGGCAAGACAATATCACTTTTCGAAGCCATCAAGAAAGACCTTATTGTAAAGCAGCATGGCATACGTCTGCTTGAAGCCCAGATTGCTACAGGTGGCATCATTGATCCCTTAACAGGTTTACATTTACCACTCGAAGTTGCTTTCAAAAAGGGTTATTTTGATGCTGACTTAAACAAGATCCTTGCTGATCAAAGTGATGACACTAAAGGATTTTTTGCTCCCACCACACAAGAAAATCTGACCTACATGGAAATGTTGGCACGATGCATCAAGGACCCCGATACTGGTCTCTTCCTGCTTCCAGTTGCTGAAGAAGGGAAAACACAAGAAAAATCACAAAAAATTCTCTCAGATGTTGAGATTAAGGAAGAATTTGAGAAAAACAGTGTTGTTGTTCCTGTTGGCCATTTCTCTGGAAAATCACTGTCTCTTTGGGAAGTAATACATTCTGTATACTTCACAGATGAACAAAGGCAGCAGTACCTTGAACAATATTGTTTGGGCAAGATACATATCAAGGATGTTGTCAGCATAGTTACCAAAACTATTCAAACAATAGAAAAGAAAGAAGCTAATTCTCAGACAACTATGGGCCTGAGAAAACCTGTTTCTGTGCAACAGCTGCATGACTCTGGAATCATTGACACCAAAACTTACAATGAGCTGCAACATGGTAAGGAGACACTTGAAAACATGGTTAAACTTGAATCTGTTCAAAGGTACTTGAAAGGCACTGGAAGCATTGCTGGAGTAAAGCTTCATCCATCAGGAAAAGTGTTAAGTTTATACATGGCAAAAACTGAAGGATTACTCACTTCCGATGCAGCACTGTTGTTGCTTGAGGCTCAGGCAGCAACTGGATATGTTATCGATCCAATCCAAAACACACATCACACAGTCATGGAGGCTGCCAGAGCTCAGCTTATTGGACCAGAGATATTAGAGCACTTACTATTGGCTGAACGTGCTGTCACTGGCTTCACAGACCCATACACAGATGAGCAAATATGCTTATTCGAAGCAATGCAAAAAGGTCTCATCCCTCAAAAACATGGATTGAACATCTTAGATGCACAGCTTGCCACAGGAGGAATTATTGATCCAATTGGCAGCTACAGGCTGCCTGTTCAGAAAGCAATAATGAAAGGATGCTTGAATAATGAGACCAGTGATCTTCTGGCAAATCCTATAAATAGTGAAAAGGGGTTTTCAGACCCAGAAACAAAAGAACCTCTTACTTACCATCAACTCATGAAGAAATGTGAAAGGAATTCAACCACCAGCCTGCTGCTTCTCCCAGTAACTGAAAAGAGTGCTGAAACCTCAACCTACAGTGACAAAAAATTAATAAAGTTCTTTAAAGAAAAATCAGTGATCATCAATGCTGGTAAGTTTGCAGATAAACGTGTATCACTTTGGGATGCACTACACTCAGAGTATATATCTACAGAGAAAAGGGAAGAATTACTTGACCAATACAAACAAAATAAACTATCAATAGAGGAGATAACAGAAATGGTGACAGCAATGATAATTGAAGTAACCACAAAAAAGCATTCTTTTAAAGGTCTTAGGAGACAAGTGTCAGCAAGTGAGCTATTTGGGGCACAAATCATCTCAAAAGAAATGATGAGTAAGCTTATCAATGAGGAAGTAGATGATGAAGATATCAACAAAATGGAATCTATTCAAAAATATCTTAGGGCAACAAACTGTATAGCTGGTGTATATTTCCAGTCTACAAAACAGACCATGAGCATCTTCGAAGCCAAAAATAAGGGACTTCTGACACCTGGAACATCTCTGGTTTTGCTTGAGGCCCAAGCAGCCACTGGTTTTATTATTGACCCAGTGAGGAACAAAAAGCTTTCCGTAGAGCAGGCGGTGGCTGAAGGCGTTGTGGGGATGGAATGGAAAAGCAAACTGCTCTCTGCAGAACGAGCAGTCACTGGATACATGGACCCCTACACAGGCAAAACAATCTCTTTGTTCCAGGCCTTGAAAAAAGAACTGATCGTCAAGGACCACGGTATTCGTCTGTTAGAAGCTCAGATCGCCACTGGGGGCATCATTGATCCTGTGCACAGCCATCGTGTTCCTGTGGAGGTGGCTTACCAAAGAGGGTACTTTGATGAGGAGATGAACAAGGTCCTCTCCGATCCAGATGATGACACCAAAGGTTTCTTTGATCCTAACACACAAGAGAACCTCACATACTTGCAACTTGTGGAGCGGTGTGTTAGAGACCCCAACACTGGCCTGAGCCTCCTTGTGATTGCGAAAAAGGGCGAGTTCTACTTCTTCATTGATGAACATACAAAGAATATCCTTAAATCTACAACCACAAAGAAAGCGGGAGGTAAATTCCAAGGACAGCTGGTGACACTCTGGGATCTGCTGTACTCAAATTACATTTCTGAGGAAAAGAGGAGAGAACTGGTGCAGCAGTTTAAATCAGGTACAATAACTATAGAACAGTTTTTAGAAATAGTTCTGACAGTGGTATCACAGAAATCAGGAACAAGCACCCAAACCATTACAACAATAACAACAACAGAGACAACCCAAAAACAAAATTTTCAAGGTATCAGAAAGGACGTGAGTGCTGATGAGTTGCTGCAATCCAAAGTCATTGATGAGAAAATGTACAAAGACCTAACTTCCGGAAAAGTCACAGTTGATCATGTAAGTGAAATGGACTCTGTGCGAAAATACTTGAAAGGAACAAATAGCATCGCTGGTGTATTTGTGCAGTCTACCAAACAAACCATGAACATCTTCGAAGCCAAAAATAAGGGACTTCTGACACCTGGAACATCTCTGGTTTTGCTTGAGGCCCAGGCTGCCACTGGCTTTATGATTGACCCAGTGAAGAATAAAAAGCTGTCAGTAGAACAGGCAGTGGCTGAAGGACTTGTTGGGGCAGAATGGAAAAACAAACTGCTCTCTGCAGAACGGGCGGTCACTGGTTACACAGACCCTAACACAGGGAACATAATCTCCTTGTTCCAGGCCTTGAAAAAAGATCTGATCGTCAAGGACCACGGTATTCGTCTGTTAGAAGCTCAGATCGCCACTGGGGGCATCATTGATCCTGTGCACAGCCATCGTGTTCCTGTGGAGGTGGCTTACCAGAGAGGGTACTTTGATGTGGAGATGAACAAGGTCCTCTCCAATCCAGATGATGACACCAAAGGTTTCTTTGATCCCAACACACAAGAGAACCTCACATACTTGCAACTTGTGGAGCGGTGTGTTAGAGACCCCAACACTGGCCTGAGTCTGCTTGCTTTAAAAAAGTAGATTTAAGACTGGATGCAAAATGCCATGCAATATATTCTCACTTCATTAACCACAATCACACTGTTCTATTTCTACTTATGCCAAATACAAATCTGTAAATGTGTATCAGTTAACATTCATTTTCAGTGTGCATTGCTTACATTTTTATAACATACATTTTCAGTTTTACATTTTTAAACTGAAATGTAGAAGCATCAGTAAAAGCGCAAATGCTATTTGTTTAAAAATGTAGTGTACTGATAAATTTTGTATTTCATCTTTTTAACTCATGCTCTCTTGCTATGTGTTCAAAACAATTAAAATAATCACTCAGTTGCAATATGTCAGTTTATTTGATCATTTTCAAGTCAGTAATCTCTTTCATTCTAAATACTGTTTGGTATGGCTTGTTTACATTGTGATAAAGTCAACATTCAACATTTATTGCATACCAGCACATGAACATGAGAAAAATGGTTGCAGATTATGGTAGTAAAGATAAACAAATATTTATGAAAAAATTGTACTTGCAAATCTGACAAAGTGAAAAAGTGTCCTTATCCTTATAAACAAATCCCAGAGAGGGAGAGAGAGAAATTATATTTTGTACACTTTAAAAATAAATTAATTAAAGGGGTGGTTCATTGCAATTTCGCTTTTTTAACGTTAGTTGGTGTGTAATGTTGCTGTTTGAGCATAAACAATATCTGCAAAGTGTAACTGTGCACTCAGTTGAAAAAATGACAGCTATGCAATCACCTCCAGCGCACTATTTTTCTTTTAAATCATTTTTAATTAATGTAATTTAATGAATGAAACTAAAGCTTATTCAATTAAAAATATATATAAGGAGTGATAATAGATTTTGTTTGTGTACATAATGATCACAGCACATTTTAGTTTAATACCTGAAGTTTAGGGCATCCAATCTGCAAAGCCTGAATACAGATAGGAAGCTGGCAGTATCCTCCATCTATTTTAGTATTGATCTCCAGCAGCCTGAGCTCAGGACAGCAACCTTTCTTTAATTTCAGAGAAATGTGCATCATCAGAAACAGACAAAGTTGACAAATTCACATACTTTTATATAATAAAGACATTTTATAGCATATTTCAAAGTTTAAAATGAACAAGTTACTTTAAACTTGGTTAAAAAAAAAAAAAACTTCATTAAGAATCAACACATAAAATAAAAAGATTAATATCAACTTACAGACAAAGCACTGAGCAGTTTGTCACTCTTGGTGCTGTGTGTGAAATAAATTTTCTTTATTTGGTTGCCGTATGCCTCAAGGAAGGACACCAGACCATCAACATTAAACTGTATGTGGAAAAAAAGACACAAAAACAGGTATAAGGGGTAGTATGTAGTGAAGCAGTGAAACATGCTGTGTCAAATAAAATGAATGAATGTGTGTGGTACTACTAAAATGGACAAAATACTTAACATTCTTAAAGGAAAAGTTTACATTAAAAAGAAAAAGAAAAAGCAGTAATCATTTACTTCCCCTCATGTCAGTCACTCCAATACCCCTTTGACTGTGACTCCATGGTTTTAATATATGTGACTTTATACTGACTATACTGGTCACTCTTTTCCATGCACCATGGACAGAAGCTTTTTTTAGAACCCACAAAAATATCATAAAGTCATTAATATGACAGCATATGTAGTCCATAATTTGTAAGTCCATCAAAATTTCTTCTTTTCTGTTCCGTAGAAGAAAGTAAGCCATACAGAGGTTTGGAATGACATGACGGTGAATAAAACGGAATTTTCATTTTTAGGTAACTGTCTCTTCAAATCTAAGTAAACAGTTTGCATAAAATCTGAGTGTTGCAAATTTATATTCTCTAATGATCGATAGTGAGCGCCAAGGCTTTGGAAGGCTGTTTCTGTCATTCCCGTGCAGTAAAACAGCTTGAGAGAATGAAGATCGGTGCATGATTGTGAAACTTCCTAGAAAAACAGAGCACAGACATAATCAAAAACAGATTCAGATAGCAGTCACAAAATTTCACAGCAGATGGATTATTATTACCTGAATTACATAATCAACATGTTTTTTCCAGTGGCAAAGGGAAAACTCTCTCAACTGAGACAATCTGCAGGAAACAGACACAACAAAACTCAACTATTTTGCATAGATGTGGCTTTGCTATGCATTATCTCACATTAAAAAGATTCATAAGTTCTTCCAGTTGAAAAAATACTTTTGTTTTTCAGCTAGCCAATCTATAGTGTTCCTAATCTTCTGTTCTGTCCCAGGTAATTGACTCTACCGGGTTCAATCCAGCAGTAGCCAATTGACACACTGTGCCACAGGATCGTAGAGGATGCAGCTCCATTCCATAGATGGCAAACTCTGCCAACCTTTTAAAGACAGCAAACAAATGAACTATAAACATAAAGCAAATATAGTATCTGTAGCCAGGTTGGACAGAAACTGAATAGTACAAATACAGAGTACGTGCCTCACCTGCACAGAAAAGTTATGGCTACATCCTGGAGAACTGCAAACAGAAAGATTTTCACCAGGACCTCTGTTGGCAAACTTTGACCCCAGTGGTCAAAGCTATCAGCATTATCTCTAAATCAACATTTTCATCAATAGTTTCCTCTGTGACTTTGGGGATTTTCGCTTTTACTGGTCCTTTTTTGGTTTTGTTAGTAGAGGTTTTACTCTTGCCTTTTGCATTTACCTTCTTTTTCTTACGTCCCTTCCGCTTGGGCTTCCATATGCTGTCACCACTATTTATATTTGATATAATCAAAAGCATGTCCTCTCCCTCCTGGATGGTGTAATTTGGTCTTATAGTTCGTTTCACAGTTTTTTTTTCTTTTTCTTTTTGCTTTTGTCATCTGTAAGGGAATCCGCTTTTCTTTTCAAAAGTCTTTTTTCTTTTGTAGGTGCAGTCTGGGATGTCCCAGCTGTGCTAGATTAAGGGGCTGACATGAACACGCAGCGCCAGGTGGAGCCTGGGGAGAAGCAATGGGATGGAGCATCGAATAATTATTTAAGTAGGAATATTTGTGTATATACGTGTGTAAGAACAGGAAAAGCAAAAACAAGGAAGAAATTGATTATAAATAAGTAGGTAGGCGATATGCACACAGGATGTAACACGCCAAAAAACAGAAGAAGAAGAAGAAGTGGCTGACATTTGCAGAGGGAGCCTGGAGTGACCATGGCTCTGTGTTTCAGTTGGATTCCTGCAACATATTAAACTGAAACTACTCTTTTATCTGAAAAGCAAAAACAGAAGCTATTTTACAAAAATCAGCAAACTGCAACAAAAGTGGGAACAAAACTCATCTCCAATCACTTGTGAGCAGAATAGGATTGGAGAGATGGAAAAGGAGAAAAACACAAGAGCTTCAAACGGGAGCTGTAACATAGCCACATATAGCCTACTAAAATATAGGCTATTCGAACCATATTTACTCTTAGTAGTAGGCCTATAGGACTACTTGATTTTTATTACAACCCGTGATGATAATTAATACATTACAAAAACATTGTAAAAATTAAACATTTGGCTAAAAGAAAGTCATCCCACTCCTCTACGTATACTTCTATCATCGCTTAGATGGTATAGGATTACAGCATCACGTGCCTTTTTTTTAAACGTGATTTTCTCCAATGAGGTGGAGGAGGGGGCGGAACATTTGGCAAATTAAGCTGCAGCACTTATATTATTGCACTGGTTGGCTATTAACTGCGAGTAGACAGAGTGTCATTCAATGCATTGGAGAATACAGCGAACATAAAAAAAGAAGCGAAGTTGCTTGTCAGATTTCCCTAGCAAGCAACCATATTTTTTTAAATAAGTCCAAAAAACCGCAACCCGCGACCCGAGATTTTTTCACGCAACTTTCCAAAAAAAGAAGTCCAAAGTAGCGTATAATACGCAGACTTGGCAACCCTGGTCAGCGAATGTCGTCATATCCGCTTTCGTGCTCAGCAAAGAGAGACTCAAAATAGCAAAGAAATCAACCAGGGCGAGCAATATTATAAATATTCCCTTTGGTAAAGGAGAAGCTAAGGCAATAATTAAAAAAGAAATGATGAAGAAATGGCAGGACAGATGGGACATGGATAATAATGGAAGGAAATATTATAGTATACAGAAATTTATCAAGGCACAGGGTGTGAACGGAAGGAATAGAAGGGAGGAGTCAGTTCTAACCAGTCTGAGGTTTGACCACACAGGGTTAAATAAAACATTGTTTTTGTTAGGTAAAAGTAAATGATGAATGAATTCAGATGAATGTATGGAATGTAAAACCACAGAAAATGCAGAACATATATTGTTACATTGTAGGAAGTATAGGGAAGAAAGGATTAGATTAAACCAAAAGATAAGTCAGACAGGAAGAAAATGGAACCTTGAGGGTGTTTTGGGAACAACAGGAGAAGGGGTTAAAGATGCACAGGATGCTGTTGTGGAATATCTGAAGGATACAGGGGTATATTATAGGATTTAGATAGTAGTGCTATAATATTTATTTATTAATTTTTTATTATTATTTTTATTATTATTATTTATTTATTTATTTTGATAATGTAAAGTGCATTCATTGAGATATAATCCATGCTGCATACTCCGATACAGTAGGTGGCGGTTGCAATCCGCCATAAAACTAACAAGAAGAAGAAGAAGAAGAAGAAGAGAGACTGAGAAAAAAAACTTTGCATTAGATTTATAGTTACATTTGTTCACTTAGAAGACGCTTTTATCCAAAGCGACTTACAAATGAGGAATACAAGCGATTAATATTAAGGAGGCAATAACACCAGCACACAGTACAGTTCTTCATAAAATAAACGATTATAACAAATATTTCTGCATGCTGATGTGGATATCACAAATGTTGTCAACGTTGTTTGTTTTGTTGGACCGCTAATGTAATTTCTTTTAATGAGGTGCGCTGTTGCCCTTTCTACGTAAAAAAAAGGTCAAATCATGTACCGTGAATGTCATACAGTGTCTTACTCGAGACAAAAAAAAAAAAAAGCGTACCGAGCCGTGGAAGAGACACCGTTTCTCAAGCGGACAAAGGCGTTTCATTCATTCATAACTCGTCATTCAGTTTTGCGTAGGGCCCCCAGAAGTCTAGGATCGGCTCTGGTTACACACACTGTAGCTGTAACAATTCAGGCCGTATATTTCCCACACCTATCATATGTTCATCACCCAGATAGCAATAATAGCCATGAATAGCACTAACTGAAAAAATAATGCATTGCATTAACAGTGCTTGCTTTTTAATACCTTGTATTTCCAGGGTTGCATTTTTAGGTCCTGAAATTTAACATATAGTTGTCTATTTAAGATGTGAATATTTCAATTCAAAATATTTCACACACATTTTCATAATTACAAATTCAATCATTCATATTCACCTTCCAGAATTCACTTCCAGAATATTCAATCTGTTTAAAA